AACGCCTCTCTCGATATTGGATCTTCTACTTCACCACGCGATGCCCCACTCGCATGAATCAGCATGTCGTACGCATTACGCCCTTCTCTCGCCTCAAACTTAACTTGCTCGCCCAGATCTATGAGCGTCGGATCTCTTGTGGAGTACAAGACCCTGCTCGCAGGCTCACCATTTTGCACCGCCGTCCTGGCAAGGCTGGACAGTTTAAACAGGATCCTCTCGTCATTGTTGTTGCGCGACCATACATCATCGAAGATGAACAGGCATCGACGGCCTGCAAACCAAGCTTGAACCCCTGCTAGCACCTCGTCCAGCTCAGCCAGATTGGACAGCTTGTCCGCTTTTTCATGTCCCCCAGAGATGCGGACAGCATTGCAGAGTCGTTGCTTCAGCTCTGCTTCTCTTGCATCTTGCCCTAGAGTTGAAAAATACACTCCGTCCGGAAAGCGCGCGAAAACCTCCCTATCATGTGCAATTGCTCGTAGGGCGCATGTTTTTCCGACCCCGGCTTGTCCAACTGCCGTTGCCCCTACATGCACGGTTGTTCCGTTGCGCAGAACAGCCGCCTTTAGCCTTCTCTCTACTGTGTCTGGCACAATTTCGCCGCCGGAAGAGTCCAAATCAACGAGCACTGTTGGAGAGTTGGATTCAACCGCGAAGCTGGGCTTGAACACGTCGCCTACCGGTGCATGTGAGCGTATCTCACGAACTACGCGAGATCCTTGTCTGCGCGTCTCTCTCACCCCGTGCAATTCCCTCCGTACCCTATCAATGGAAGCATAGAGCTCTTTGACTTGCTTTTGGCGCTCCAATAAGACATCTCGATCTCCGGTGGCTGACGCCAAGGCATGTAATTTACCTTTCGGATTCTCTGTTTCATCCTTGAGTTCCTTGACCAACCCCGAAACAGAGCGCGACACGCCTTGAACCTGTGCTTGCAACTCATTCTTGTGTAGGGGTTCTAGGTCGTGAATGGGGACGTTGGCGACATTCTCCGTCAATTTCTGGAGCTCGAGGTACTGTTTGAGGACTTTTGTGGCCAAGCTTCCGTTATTCTTGTAGGCATCGTGGGTGTCTATGGCTTTTTGCACAAGGCTGACGACCTGCTCTACCGCGCCGACCAGTTCTAGGATACTCAACGGGTCCATGATTCCCGAAGACGGCAAAGCTCTACGACGGAATGGAAGCGCAGGGTACCTGACAGGAGGCGGTAGAAAGTAGATTGTGCGAGTGAAAGCTTTCGGAGTGGTTGTTGTATGCGAGGGGGATGGATACAGGAGGAAAGGATGTGTTTGCGATGCCAATGGGAAGGAGTCTGCGGCAGCACTCCTGGGTGGGTGCCTTAAGTAAAGCTTCACGCATAACGGTTTTTGGTCGTGGTGGGCTTGGAGGCTGTGTGTGTGGGTGGGCAACGATGACTCTGCATCCAACTGGACACATTTCCGAGTCTCAGGGCCATAGGATACAGTAGGATGGAAGCATAAAAGGCTATCGTTGTCGTTTTCTCGAAGACTGTGTGGGTGGGCGGGCGGGCAGCGATGACTTTGCATCCAACGCGACAAGCTTCGAAGTCTCCGTGCCACACACCAATTTTTTGGGGCTGTGATTTTGATTTTTTGAGATCCTGCCCTGTTGATTGGCAAGTACATCCAGTGTCAAAAATCTCAGTGGGCCGTGGATATACTGTAGTACAAGTTCGGGTCCCCAAATATTGAACAGATGAACTGGCACGTTTGGGAAACAATCATAAAAATACTCATTTATGGCTATCTTATAGGTGCAATAGAAAGGTTGGAATCGATGGAATCCGTTTACAGATTCCCTCTCATCTCAATCAAAACAATTGCGACAGGGTCCGTCCATCCGCAACTACTAAAATCACCACAAGGTCTTATACTGCAGCCTTCTTGAATGACGAGGAAGAAGGCAACCCCAGCGTCTCCTCCGCCGCCGCACCCGCTGCTGGCGACAACGGCCACGCCATGCGCGTTCGACATACTGTAGGTAACGCGAGCGAGACCAGCCTTGACAACTCGCGCGCGGCACCGTCCGCGCATACGCGCGCGACTCCGCCTTAGCCTTCGCGCGCGACTCTGCCCTCGTCTCCTCGCCCTGCTCAACCCGCCCAAGTCATCCCTGCCCAGGTCCCCCCGCCCCCGCGCCCCTGGGCATCCCGGTCCGCCTGGACCCCCGCACTGGAGAGCCCGTAGCTCCGCCTCCCGCTGTCACAGCGTATGCCTTCGCCCCAGATTCTCAGTCCGCCGCGTTCCCATCCTTCGAAGCGGCGCAATCCGCACTTCGACGAGGTGCGTAGCTTGCTGAAGTCATGCTTCCCCCCCCATGTCCTCATCCCTGACGTCGCACGCTGGACATATGTCTACTTCCTCGCTGCAGCCACCCCTGCCATTGCCCGAATCTTCGCTCACGCTAAGCTCATCTACGAGGACCTTACCATTCAAACTGCCCCCATCTCTGACGCAGCATGCGAAATCGATCCGTCCGCCGCCGCCGGCGTCGCGTGTCGCCTCACCCGCGAATCTCGCCGCCTCCTCAACCGTCGCACCCCTACTGCGGTGCCCATGCCAGTCCGCGTCGCTCTGGCTATGACCCTGCAGACTCACGCCCACACCATCACAGAACGCCTCGCACGCGCACCCCCTAATGTTCCCGTCGCAACCCCGCTCAACAATGCTTTGCCAACCTCTGCTGCCGCAGCGCTCCCAAATGATACCCGTGACGTACGACAGGGCGCACCTCGCCGCCCTGCTTCTGCATTCTCGATTCAAGCAGCTGGGTCTAAGGACCCTGCTGCCGCGATACGCCTTCAGCCCTTGACGACCCAGACACCTCCAGTCGAAGCGCGCCCTCCCTCTCCTATCGCGCCTTCTGATCGTCCTACAGTCTCCCCGTCCCCTATGCACCGCCCCTCCGGAAAGAGCCCTCCCGCCTCCCCAGCCGCCTTCCCAAACCGCCCACCACCAGCTCCGACCCCGATGGCCTTTCCAGCCTCTCCGTCACCCCCAAATATTCTCCGCAAGCGTCCTTTATCTTTCTCAGCCAAGCTTCCCCCCTCTCACCGGCCTCGTGGCAGCCATGACCCAGCACGAGCGGGCCTCGCGGCCACGCACTACCTAACACAGTGAGTCCCCCAAGTCCTGCCCCCACTGTCCGGGCCAAACGCCCTACCGCTTCCCTTCCCACACCCATACCCGGCACTTCTTCGCACTCAATCTATGGATTTCCCATATTGCTGGTGCGCGGCCGCTCCGCTGCGCCGTCGTCGCTAGAATAGTGATTAATCATTAATTCTACAATGGTACATACCCTAAATCGTCATCAGCCAACCATCGAGCGATGGCGGCGATCATGGAGCCGTTGCATTGGACTGTTGGCTTTCGCGAAATCAAGGCAAGAGCCCGAGCTCAACATTTGCGGTATGTCGTGCACCGAGACGAACGAACGACACCAAAACTATGTATACCGTACGGCGGCGTCCTCGCACCTACCTCCCTCCTCTTCCGCTATCAAAAAGCATTTCACCCCTTGCCTACCAAACAAAATCGACTGTTTTCACAGTAATTGCTTTGAAAACATTTGGCTATTACGGTCGCTCTTAAGAGTGACCGCAAATGCCAAATACAACCCGCGACCTTTCGAAAATGTACTCCTTAACACCAGATCATTTCCTTTTTCGCCATCCTGAACAATGATGCTGGTCCATCTTGCAGACAACGTCTTAGCCTTCGCGCCACGACGGTGAGATAAAGTCGCAAGCGTTCAAGTCGATCCACGACAGGAAGGCCGCGATATAAGCAAACAGTGCGACGAAAACTGTCCCGAAACTTTTGGTGCTGGGCCATCTCGCAGACAACGTTTTCATCGTCCTGTTCGCTTATTGCGCGGTCTGCCTGCCCCGGACGGCCTGGAACGCTTGCAACTTTATCTAACCGTCTTGGCGCAAGGCACACAACGTACGCGTCGCAGGATACTTCGACCTGGCCAACACCAGTGTCCCAGCTATTTACATCGTACTTTAAATTTCGATTCAAACTGAGAACGATACCAAGGAAGTGTTCACGGCGATTGTCGCATTGCTACTTGCGCTGCTGCACTTCTTGCGGACAGCGTAGGGCTTGTGGCAGCTTCGTGTGTTTGTAGCGTGAGCTTCCAAGTGAAAGTTAAAATGCTTCTGGATGCCGAAGAGAGCAAAGATAAGCGCAGGCGAGGAAAGGGCCAGAACGAAGGACATTGTGAAACGGAGGTCCTGTCTGAGGATGAGATGGCGGATGAGCTGTTAGTAAGCGACAAACTCATCGAGAATCGCCTTTTTCGTGGAAATTCCCGTTGTCACCTGCACATCGAAAACATGGATATCACCACATACTCTCATGGCAAGGCGACATTTTTCTCCAGGGCACAATGATACTGGTGCGTGTACTGTCCATAACAATCCGATACGTGTATCATACGGTGTTGCGGCAATGCTTTGGGGGAGAGAGTGTGCCGAAAGCGCGTCAGGTGTCTTACAAACCAGAGGAGGTTTGCCTGCGGTGGTCTGTAGCGTTTGCTCCGCTAGGCTGGGAGGGTGGGTGAAGGAGTTTCGAGTTGCCGCAAAAGAGGACGAAGATTTGTCAGGTTTGAACAATATGCAGCAGTACGAGAATCAACGGGACTACGCTGTAAGCCGAGTGTTAGCCATGGCTGGATTAGTGCTGTGACTGGGAAGTTGCGTACTGACGGGTGAAGACTCAGATGTGTCGAAGACAGAAGTATTGCGAGGGGTGGCCGAGTCAGGCTGGGGTTTTCCGTTTGACGCAAGACAGGTAAATATGATGGAGTCAGCTGAAAAGGGGTACAGGACGTACGCTCTGAAGCTATCGGGGATCATGCAGGAGATGCAGGTTTCATTGGTGAAAGAAATGGAGGGGTTTCATATCGAGAGAGTGGAGTGGCTGGCGATCTTGGTGAACATGGGGGGCGTTTTGCATAACGTTGACATGTCAAGAACGGAGGCCCAGAACACCAAGCTGGAGGAAAGAGAGTTCGAGCCGTTGCCGCACAATGATTTTGCACTGGAGAATCTGCAGGAGCAGCTGGGGATCAGGGAGAACTTCCTTGGGGAAATTGTGGAGGGGAGAAGCATCGTCAGTCTGAGTGCGTTCTCGCTGCAGGAACGGTGCTTTCATTTGGTGTCGAGTGAGACCCGAATGGTGAAGAAGACCGGGGAGCTGATTGAGCTCGCGAACAAAACTTGGAAGATGAGTGGAAGGAAAGGAAGATGCACAGGCCAGGGCTTGGAGACCTGTTTTGTTTAAAAGTGGAGAAAGGAAAACGATGTGGGAGAAAGTTGTGGGTCTGTCTGCGGAGCTATCATGGAAGGAGTGGAATTCCGTACGTTGAGACTCGCAATAGACTCGGGTTTGCGGATTCTGGATTCAGCGATAAGAGGGAGTGCGCATGATTTTGTGGGCGGGATGGAAACCGTTCCGAAAGAAACTTTGCAAACTTGCAGTTGAGAGTGGGAGACTTCTGGAGCAGTCTGCCTTGACACTGGGGCCTGTGACCCTTTCTGGGAGAGACAAGAAGTTGCCTTATACTGTTGACCGTATCGTGGGAAAGAGATGCTCTGTCGGTTATGCAGAAGCAATGCGTGAGTCTCCGTGATGAGTGTCTCACTGTGAGAGAACCACTGCTTATGGGAGGCACGAGGGTTGTGGAAAGTGGCACAGCCATGTCTAACCAGACTCAAGAAATCGAGGACTTGATTGGTAGGGCGGAGAATCTGATTGACATGAACATTTCGGGAGGGCCACTTTTTTGCTCAGCGTAGCGGCACTGGAGAGGAATGAAATTTACGCTCGGTTCAGACGTGTGAGAATTCTGTCGGATTTGGGATCAACAGTGATGTATGTGGCGAGGACATTGAACTTGATACAAGCAGCCCAACTGATCAAAGCCTTTGATGCCAAATTGTTTGTTCCCGGAAATGGAATCAGTTGGACACGATTGCCAATTTTTCGGACTTGTGCGTTGGAAGTGGCGGGGATGTGAAGTGGAGGGAAGCAAAAGGCAATGGTGTTGGTAAGGAAGCCTTTTTCTCTGAAGGAGAGCTGACCGAGTGTGACTTCATGACGTATGATCTTGTTAGAAAGGCTTTATTGGAACGCACGATAAGCGAATACGCGACGTTGTTTTCAAGAGAAGGACTTCGGATTGTGCTGGCTATTGCCGGACAGTGGGCTTCTCGGTTTACTAGTGCGAGAAAGAGAGAATCAGAAATGTGCTTGTTTAAACCCTCTATTATGCGGGAAGTCAGGATGAGAATTCAAGCACACAGGCCATGATTAACCTCAGAATATTTTTGCGCTACCCTTCTGGCAGGGTCAAGTTTGGACATGTAAGCCGTTCTTTACATGTTGGATGCAAGAACCCCACAACCAGGCCATAAACGGCTCTCAGCCAATCACATCACTGTGGAGTTCAGTCTCAGAGCCTCTCAATGGCTTCCAACAACTGCTAAGAGGCATTACGTAGCCACAAATTATCCATATCGACTGAGCAGTAGAAAAAAAGGGGTTTAATTTTGGACACATCCTTTTGATTACTTCATGACCGTTTGCAGCACCCCGATGATGATGCTATGGACTATCCTTGCACCTGTCATTGATCTTCGGCTTCTAGGTCTGTGCTGCGCCCTACTCAGCGACAACAAAGCAGCAGAGGCCACTTTCATCTCAGCTTTGTGCTTTTGTTTGCGCTGTCTTGCCGCGGCGCGGTCGTTCCTTCTCTGGTCTCTCACCACAGCCGCATGGGCCCTGTGGTACAATTGCCAAGTGGCGCTACTGCACTAGGCGGGCGCCAGAGGCCTCGCCAAGTACAGTAGTAAGATGTTAACCGATACGGTGCATACGTGGCCAGCACGTGTAGATGTGGCCACGTGGGAGTCCACGTGTAGTTAGTGGTACCAGCTAGTGCACGTGTACACGTGGTGCGCGACCGATCGGTGGGTTAGTACAGTAGTCATTTTTAGTTACCGTAAGCTACAGTAAGCTGGCTACAGTATGTAAAGCTACTGTAGTCCGTCCGGTGCCACCGCCCTACTAGGGGGTATAAGATAGGGGGGCACCGGGCTGGAGGTAAACCGAGGCAAGCACGCCTCCCCTTACTTCCTACCCTAGTCCTTTACCGTACGGTTAAGTAAGTCCCGCAGGTTTCCAGCTCGCCACCGGTCGTACTGCTCTACACCCCAGTAAGACTGCGCGTGTCCAGTGCGGTGTACCTCCCTTGTCCTGTGCTTCCTACCGTTCCGGATTATTCTACCTGACGCTCCAGTGTAGCGGTCCCCCAAGCTCCCTCATTTTAGGTACAGCCTGTCCTTTTCCGTTTACGGTTTAGCGTCCCTACGGTTGTACCACATTTTTGGTACTCTTGTGGAGGGCCGCCTGGGGTTTCTAGACCCTCACCGTCGAGCTCAGGAAAGAAGACATCCGATTCGGTACGTGGACAAGTTGAAAAACACGTATCAACCCCCGGTTCAAGCAAGAAGTCAAGATGAATCCGACCGGAACCCCTGCGGAAGACTGCGGTTCGGGACGGGGCAGTACTCGCTCCGGCTCAGCCAGGGCGAGTACGCGCAGCGGACCACCCGGGTCCGTGCGCCCCCGTGTCGAAAACCCGGAGTCACTGCTACGGGTGACAGCCGGTACAGGGCAGAACCCAACCAATACGGAGGTGACGGCCCCTGGGGCCGTCCCGGCCCTCGCTGGTCGAGCGGGTACCGAACACCGCTCCCAGTGGGCATTAAATACCCTCTGGCCGCGCATGCAGACGTGGCTGGAGGAAGCTCTCGTTAAAGAGGTTCCTCGCCACGTCGAGGGTGCGATTAACCGAACGGTTCCGCCGCTTGTTGACGAACAAGTCCGGGCCGTCGTCACGCCCGTCATCGACGACGTCGTGGGTGCCCTCGTAGAGCGTGAGCTCCGAGAGGCACTCGACCCTGGAGATCATCTTACATCGTTGGGGCTGAGCCTCCAGACAGCTATCAACATAGCTGTCGAGGCTCGCCTCGCCAACTTCCATCCGAACGGTACTGTAGCTGAGGCACCTCAACCTCCTACAACCGCTACGGCACCTCTCAAATTAATAAGAACCGGAACGGGAGATACAAGACCGACACAGGTATATATGGCACCTCACCCGGAGGCGGGCCCTCACCCGGAGGACCCACCTATATACCTGCCCGAACTTCAGGGTGTTACACGGGGTCCAACAGACAAGGACCCGGCGACCTATGACCGATACGGAAGACACCCTCGCCATGAGACAGAAAATCTGACGAGGTATGGCGAGACAGAAAATCGCTCGTCTTTCCGTTACGGTCCCAAGTCCCGACGCACAAGGCGCGGGCCATTACCGGAGGAAGAGGAGGAGTACTCCGAAGAAGAACCGTACGGTGACAGAAAAGCTGTCCGGCAAGATTACCGTCCCTATCGTCTCGGGCTGGAGCCTGTCATCGAGGAGGTGAATTTCCCTCCGATGGAAGCTCGCCTCATTCGACCAGCGACGAAGGTCGGCGCCATCCGGGCAGCCGGCGAGACCGTAGCCACCGACGCAAGTGGTCTGGCTCAGAGGGCTACAGTACAGACCCCGAGCCGCACGACCAGGGGCGCCGACCGGGTAGAAGTCGTCGGACTACCGAACGGTCAGCCCCCACCAAGAGAGTCGATGTGATTAAACCGCTTAATGATTTATTCACCAAAGCGGTTAATTACAAGACCTACCGGTTGGAACGTCGCAGCGCCCGGTATAATTCCGAGGTCGCGCGGCATATCAGCCGTATCCGCAAGAAGCTGGACGTGCAGATGAAATCTCACACGTTCAGTGGACAAGATCCGATAGCGGTATTGGGCTTCCTTGCCCGGTTTAAGATGGCTTGCGACCATAATAGGGTAAGCCAGGGAGCTGCCGTATGGTGCTTCCAATTCTACTTAACCGGACAGGCGCATGATCTACTGCAGTCCCGCCTTATGGGTAATACCATGGCGGTGAACGCCGAGCAACGCGACATGCTCGAGAGTTACGAGGAGGTAGTCAATTTCCTTTTACGGACCTACGCTACGGACGAAACTATCGCCGAGGCCTACACCGAAGTGGTTTCCTTCCGTCAGAGTTCTAACATGACGGAAGAAGCCTACAGCAATCAGCTGTGGGACAAGGCCCTCCGATGCGGTACTGTCTTCTCAGACCGTCGGCTCAAGTCGCTGTACGTCGAGGGGTTGCTCCCAGCGACGTGCGCGCAAGTGCGAAATTATCTAGCGACACACGCCACGGTAGACTACCAGGCGGTCGCTAGGTACGCACAAGCCATCGGGGAGACACACCGTTCGGCAAGGCGGCATTTATTGCCATCGAACGTCGCGTCCCGTGACGCTACAGGCAAGATTGCCTTTAACCGCTCGGCAAGAAAGACTCCGGTGTTATCCGTCGAGTCCTCGTCGGAGGCCGCCTATACAGGCGCCTCACCCAACGCAGAAGGAATATTGGCGATGACGAGCCCCACAGTACACGCAAGTACCGTGAGCTCGCCGCCAACAAGTTTCCATCCTTCTCCGGTACCGTCAGTGGGAGGGGCTGTAGCCCCAACGTCCACTGTAGCCGGTTATGGCCGCCGCTACGGAAGCGGGGACCAACGCGCAAGGTGGGGACCGCCTCCGTGCCGGTTCTGTCTGGACCCCACTCACCGACAGGAAAGCTGCCCTATTGTCGCGGACGCCTCGCTGCGAGCCCAGCTCCTAGCAGCGAGGGAGGCGAACTATCAAAAGTTACGCATCCGACAGGGGCTCCGCCCTGGGTCTCCATTCAGTCGTCCACAGGGACCGGTGTGGCGAGGAAATCCCTCATCTCAAACCACGCCGGTCAACCTGGTGGACCAGGGGGTCGACAAGGCGGAGAAGCTGGTCGCTGAGGAGGAGGAGGATCTCCAACTCACGGGGGAAGACAGAGAGGACGCGTAGAGGCGACGTCGTCAAAACTCCCTGTCTGCCTCACCCCGGAGGATCCTTCCCCCTCAACTCAGGCAGCAGAGCCGAACCGAACGGAAGACGCGCCGACCGAAGCGGAACCTATTTGCTTCTTCAAGAGGCAGAACTATAAGGTTTCCGCTACGGTAAGGCTGCGACAAGCGAATATGCGGGCACTGTCTCCAGTCCTAGACTCGGGGGCAGCGCCCAACCTCATCCATATACGCTGTGTGGCCGAGTCATGGCGCGCGGCCATCCGTCCGGTAAAGAGCGCACCGCTGGTGGACGCCTCCAATCGCTCAATGAGCGCCCTTGGACAGCTTACACTGTACGTCCGCATCGGAGATTTCACAGCCAGGGTCAAGTTTCTCGTGGTCACTCGCCTGGCTGTGGATTGTATATTAGGGACCACCTTTATAGACCAACATATCAAGGCAATTCTACCACCGCGACGGAGGGTTCTCTTCCATCATGCCCCCTCAGTCGCACTTACAGGCACGACGCCATCCAAATTTACTCATAAGGAACACCGAACGGCAACAGAAAAATCGCCAAGAACCAAGCCGTTTCCGAGCAACACGCCGTCTCGGAAAATACGCATGGTGCGGGGAATTACAATTCCCCCCATGACGCAAGCAACCGTACGGGTGGCGACGCCGGTCGCCGGGCTCTGCTTCTTACAGAACCATCCCCGCACGGCAGAGAAGAACCTGTCGCTTATGGCGCAGGGAGTCATGGATATAAGGCCAGACATTCCGTTTTCGGTAATAATGAGCAATTTTAGCCATAATGCGTTCCGTCTCCTCAAACACACCGTTATCGGACTCGCGCTACCATCGCCGACCCACATCCTAACCCTTCAGCCAGCCACAGGAGTGGCTGAAGCTAAGGAGGGGGGAGGAAGCAAAAATAATCTTCCCCCTACAGTACCCCCTTTGGGTACCGTACAGGATGAGGGACAAGACAAGTCCGATACGGAAGAAGAACAGGAGAGAACCGACACGGATAAAGCCCCCCGATTGTGGACCGAGGATGTCCACATCGGTGAGGAAGACGGAGAGCTACGCAAAAAAATAGTAGCTATGCTCTCCGAATTCAAGGAGATGTGGAATGGCCGCCTCGTGAAGATTGGTGCCACCAAGCACCGCATCGACCTCAAGGTGGGAGCCAATCCCATCTACCAAGCTCCGTACCGGGCTGGTCCAACCGCACGGGAAAAGGAAAAAACCGAGGTGAACCGCATGCTGCGGGCCGGCGTCATCGAGCCGGCCACGGCAGAATGGGCCAGTCCTGTGGTCTTCGTACCCAAAAAGAACGGTACCATGCGGTTCTGTGTGGACTACCGCAAACTAAACGCATTTACCATCCGGGATTCCTATCCCCTACCGCGAATGGATGAGTGCATCGACTCACTCGGCGACGCTACAGTATTCACTACGCTTGATTGCAATAGTGGATACTGGCAAGTTGAAGTCGCCGAGGAGGACCGCGATAAGACGACGTTCGCGTCGCACTGCGGTCTATACCGGTTTG